AAGATACCACCCCATGTCATGAAGTTTGAGGCGAAAACTTACGATGCATGGTATACTGCGCTTGTTCAACTGGAGAATGCCGCCATCAAGCCCACGACAGATAGTGCACTTGTTAGGGAAAGCAACCTCGACGCATTGGTAGAATTGTATGCTGGTTTGCAAGAGGATGATCTCTTTTATGGAACGTGGCGTCGCCGCTGCCAGTTTGTCGAGACAAATGCTGCGCTTTCCTACGAACAAAACGGGATGTGGGACAGCGCGCAAAAGATGTACGAGGCCGCTCAAATTAAAGCAAGAACTGGTGCGATTCCTTTCTCATCCGGTGAATACATGCTCTGGGAAGACCACTGGGTGCTATGCGCTCAGAAACTGCAGCAATGGGATATCTTACAAGACTTCGCCAAGCATGAGAACTTTCAGGATCTCCTCCTTGAATGTGCCTGGAGAAACCCGGAAACATGGCAGACCCCAGAACCTCGAGATCAGCTCGATGCGATTATCAAGGGAGTCATGGATGCGCCAACTCCTCGCCGAACTTTCTTCCAGGCCTTCATGTCCCTTCTGAAGTTCCACAACAAAACAGAAACCACGGCAGATTTCAGCAAGGTATGTGATGAGGCTATACAACTGTCAATCCGCAAATGGCACCAGCTTCCTAAGCGGATTACCAATGCACATATCCCTCTACTTCAGAACTTCCAGCAGCTTGTTGAGCTTCACGATGCTAGCGTAATATGCCAAAGCCTAGCTCAAACGACCCAAGCAAATCTGGATGTCAAATCTGGAGAGTTGAAGCTACTACTTGGTACCTGGCGAGATCGCCTGCCGAATGTATGGGATGATATTATGGCATGGCAAGATCTTGTTACTTGGCGCCAGCACATATTTGGACTCATCAACTCAACCTACTTGGCCCTTCTGCCCCAACAAGGGCAAAACGCCAATGGCGCCTCGTTTGCCTACCGTGGATACCACGAGACCGCTTGGATTATAAATCGTTTCGCCCATGTCGCAAGGAAGCATCAACTGCCAGAAGTTTGTATCAGCCAACTTAGCAGGATCTATACACTGCCAAACATCGAGATTCAAGAAGCTTTCTTGAAGCTGAGGGAGCAAGCAAAGTGTCATTACCAAGATTCGAACGAATTGAATCAGGGTTTAGATGTCATCAATAACACCAATCTGAATTATTTCGGTCCACAGCAGAAAGCAGAGTTCTACACTCTGAAGGGAATGTTCCTCGAGAAACTTAGCCAGAAGAGCGAGGCCGAAGAGGCTTTTGGCATGGCGTTATTCTTTGATATCAAGCTATCGAAGGCATGGGCCGAATGGGGCTACTACAATGACCGTCAATTTAAGGAAACCCCAACAAATTATGAGTTTGCGAAGAACGCCCTTAGTTGTTACCTTGAGGCTGCCGGTTTGTTCAAGAATGCAAAGTCTCGGAAGTTGCTTACTCGCATACTCTGGCTACTGAGTCTCGACGATGCGAATGGAACGCTAGCAGAAACATTCGACGCATATAAGGGCGAAACACCAGTTTGGTATTGGATAACGTTTATTCCTCAATTACTGACTGGACTTGGACACAAGGAAGCTGCGAAAGCACACAGCCTTCTCGCAAAGATCGCCAAATCCTACCCACAGGCGCTTTACTTCCAACTGCGTACCAACCGTGAGGATATGCTTGCAATCAAGAAGAGCCAGGAGACCAAAGATCTACGCGAGAGAAACGCAAGAGCTTCCAAGCAAAATGCTAGACAAACTCCAGTGGGAGATGCCGCAAAGCAAAGCGGCTCGCCGACCCAGGCACGTTCGGTGACGCCTTCAGTGAGGCCAGACAGTTCGGCTGGATCAAGACCTGGGACTGCTAATGGCGTTGTTAATGCTGCCCTTAATGGAGAGGGTAGTGCAGTTAAGCCTGAGCCAGCTGAAGCTAGCAACAATCCGAATGCCGCCACAAGCGTCCCAAATGCGCAAGGGCAGCCATCGACGACACCAGCCCCAGCCGCTGCTCCACCCACCAAGAAGCCACCGTGGGAACACACAGAAGAGATACTTTTGGTGCTCAAAACAGCATTCCCACTGTTGGCACTTTCTATGGAAACAATGGTCGATCAAATCCAGAAGCATTTCAAGTGCCCGCCCGATGAGGATGCATACAGGCTCATCGTGGCACTTCTCAACGACGGCCTTTCATATGTCACTCGCATGCCTAATTCTTATGCTCTCGATGTGAAGCTCCCATCCGCCACCGAAACTAACATCACTCGGTTCGCGGAGACTATTCTGCCAGCTCATATTCGAAAGTCGTTTGAAGCTGATTTCGTTGATAAAAAGCCAACAATGCACGAGTACATCCAAAAGCTCCGCCGTTGGCGCGACAAGTTCGAGTCTAAGCTGGATCGCCGCCCATTGCATCAAAATCTCGAGACTTACAGCACACATTTGAGCGAGTTCCGATTCGGTAAATTCGATGAGGTGGAAGTTCCTGGCCAATATTTACAGCATAAGGATAAGAACCAAGATTTTATCCGAATTGATCGGTTCCTCCCCGACGTCGACTTGGTGCGCGCCATTGGTGTCTGCCATCGTCGCCTCAAAATTCGTGGCCACGATGGATCTGTTCATCCCTTCGCCGTGCAGCATCCTGCTGCCAGACATTGCAGACGTGAAGAGCGGATATTGCAACTCTTCAGACATTTCAATGCCACACTGAGCAAGCGTAAAGAGTCGCGTCGGAGAAATCTCAACTTCCATCTACCGCTCATGATTCCGCTTGCGCCCCATATTCGTATGGTTCAAGATGATACGTCGTATATATCTCTTCAAGGAATCTTTGAGGACCATTGCCGTAAGAGTGGACTGCTAAAGGACGATCCAATTTTGTTCACAATGGACAAATTAAGGATCCTGGCCGAGGCGAAGACTGCCGTAAGTTCCAAATTTCCAGCCTCGATGGTTTCCAATGCTAACATAATGATTAGAAACACCCTGATCACGCTCTCAACGCCCGTATGGAGATATTTTCAGCTATTCAAGACAAATGGGTTCCACATACGATTGCTCTCGACTTCTTCAAAGCTTCGTATCCAGCATATGCGGACTTCTGGTTGTTCCGCAGGCACTTTTCATACCAATATGCTGCGTTAACATTCATGACTTACATTCTGTTCATGAACGGCCGTTACCCACACAAGCTCAATATCGCACGTGCCACAGGAAATGTCTGGGGTTCGGAACTGATTGCCTCGATGGCAGCTGGCAAGCCTACCTTCCATAACCCGGAGCCAGTGCCCTTCCGCCTTACACCCAACATACAAACTCTCATGGGTCCCATAGCCACCGAGGGCATCTTCACTTGCGCCATTATGGCCATTGCACGATGCCTTACGGAACCCGAGTTTGACCTGGAGCAACAGTTGAGCTTGTTCGTGCGAGACGAAATGATCTTCTGGTTCACCAGTAGCCACCGCGCGGGATCAATGGGAGAAGGTCAGCTGAGGGAGACGGTCCAAGTTAACAGCGAGATTATCGTCAAGAGGACTTTGAGTTTAGCCCAGGCGCCGATGGGGATGCTACCTGCGAACCAGACAATCATTGACTTGGTAGCTAAGGCGGTCAATCCTATGAACCTAGCTCAGGCCGATGCGCTGTGGATGCCCTACCTATAAGGAGGGCTTTTTTTTTCTTTGTATGATACAGGATAGCCACTGAAAGTGAGCTGGATTTGGGGTGGGGGGAAGAAATTGGGTTATATGTGATTGGAGTTTCGCGAGCGAGGCGTTAGGGTTATGCGGAGGATATCATGGGGTGTAAAGATGATGTAATTTGGTATGGACTGGGCGGGACTGTGCAAGGGATGCTACTATACATTAATGAATAAGCTATTCAGCTACATGCTTTTCTTCCATTGCACGACTATATATGTGTGCAGCAAGTACACGCCTTGTAGGGTAATCCATTGCCCATGTCGCATAAGCATGTATTGGCATATACGAATTATCCTCTGTTGTGATTGGGAGTTGGTCAGACACTAAGGGCGTCGAAGAGATCAGAGGAGCTCTATCATCTGCAGTTGCGGTTGCAGTTGCGGTTGCAGTTGCCAATTCTCAACGACTCGAGATTCCGAGCCTTAGGAACACACGAATTTTATCCCCCCTCCTCCACATGGCGCCTATTTGATGATGTAGCTAAGATAACAGTTCCAAAAAATCAACAAACCGTTGACAAAAAGCACTCGGTAACCGAGCGGAACAACTGAGAAATTGACAACCTGTACAAATGGCCAGACCATCCAGTTGCTCTGTAAAGCTCCTTATATGTCTTAGACAACTTCTCCTGGGGGCTTACACCCTCTAGGACGGACATGGTGCTCAGAAACACGAACAGGTTCGTTGGAGCGAGTAAGCTGATCGACTCCAACACGCGCACAGATCTCTAATTTCTTGTTTGGTAACACGATTTTGGTCTGTAGAAACTTGAACCATTTTGTTGCTGCAGGCTCAAAAATCACTATGTGTAGTTCAGCATAATTCCCAGCAGATATGCCCATTGCCACTAAATCTTGCCTCCACCATATAATGCCATACGAGCTGTACGAACGAATTCATGCTTCTCGATTCCTCTATGCTCTACCGCCTGCTGCGCCATAATATCTCCAGTCGCGAATAATATTGCCGTGGTCACCCTCTGCGTCAACATTGGGCGCGCCGCCAACCTCATACGGTACCAGCAAAGCATAACTGCAATTTTGTTTTCTTACGAAAACGGTTTATGGCTGGGAGATTGAAGTACTCGGTGCCTATATTCAGTGCCTCAACTCCTATTTCTCAACCAAGTTACCGTTATGTTTGTTGTGCTTGTTGCGGATCTTTTCTGCCACAAATAACCTCGCCGTCTTCACCACAATCGCTTTTCTGCCACAGATAGCTTCACCGCCTTGACCAGTCGCCCTCGAACCCAAATATTTCAACCCCGCAGCTTTTTGTATACCACTCTCAACAGATACAATGGCGAAATCCAAAGCCGCAAAGCGCAAGCACAATGGTGCACAAAATGTACCTAATAAATTCCCAAAGACTTCTCTGCCGACAACAGCAGGCGCCGTCACCCCACCATCAACAGACACCGACGCTACTCGTATCGAACCGAAGAACATCGCCAGTATAGTATCCGAAGATGAGCTGGAAACCACAATCGAGACGCTGCAAGTTCTTAGCAAGTATCCGAATCTGATCAAAAGTAAAGCATGCAAAGATCTCCGTGTTGCCATCTACGATTTTAAAGAGGCTTCTACAACTGGCCTCCTCACGGCGGCGGATGCGAACTTGACAAGCCGGATTAGCGCGGCTCTCGTAGACGGGAAGTTGACAGAGGCGAGGGTATTATTGGCAGAGATGAGGGTGAAGGGGCAACAGCCCAAGCTGGGTGCTCTGTGTCGATGGGTTCGGGATTTAGACGTTCTGTCTGGGTTGAGCCGGGGCGTGGATGGGATGAGCGCAGTCGGCGAGAGGAGTGACAGCGAGATTGAGCTGTTGAAAGTTATGGATGCAATATTGAGGGTTACGGGACCGACAGATCTCAACTTAAAAATTGAGAGTGGCGAAACCCCGATCAGTGTCCAGGAGGTGTGGAATATGAGGAAAGGTGATGTTCCAGAAGCAGTTTATGCAAAGGTTCTGGACAGGAGCTTGATACCACAGCCAGAGGCTATTGTGGTTAAGTTCAAGATCCTCGGGACGATTCCTGGCCCGGAGAGGAAGCCGCCAAATCACCATCCTGCGATCCTATACACCTCAGAGGACAACGCTGTCCATCTCACATCTCCTGGACCGTCACGAAGTCGGCATTCTCATCCCATTGTCCCAAATTTAGGACTCATAAAAGACGTCTTATCGCCAACAGAATGCAAGGTCATCATTGCAGCCGGAGAGGCAGTTGAATTTATTCCTGATGCACCAGTGAGAGACGATGGCGGAGAAGTAAGCGTTTTGGCGCATAACTTTTACTGGGTCATTGATCAAGCATTCCACGATCGGCTGTGGGAGAGAGTGAGAGAGTATGTACCGGAAAATGTTGGTGGAAAGAAAGTAAGGGGCTTGAATAGGAGGTTTAGGGTGTACAGATATGTTCCCGGCGCGGAATATAGATGCCATATCGGTAAGCATTCTTACTTCTTCTTTGTTATGGTGTGGCAAGAAACTGACTCAATAAGATGGGGCGTGGCCACCCTCGGGGATTTCGCCAGCTGGGGTGTATCAGTATGATTCATCTCCTCCCACTAAGAGGCGATCATCACTCTTCACCTTCTTAATATATTTGAATGACGACTTCGAAGGCGGAGAAACTACGTTCTTCCTCCCAAGTGTCAAGGAGGGGACAATGAATGCGTATCCAATGAAGCCAGTCATGGGTAGTGTAGCCGTTTTCCCGCATGGAGAGACGAATGGAGCATTGCTACATGAAGGAACTGGGGTTAGGAAGGGCGCAAAGTATGTGATACGGACAGATGTGGAATATGATGTTGATGCTTAATGCGGTGGCGAAATATATTTGGGAAAGCATTTTAAGCGGTATTTTATAATTTGTTGGGGAGTTGTCAAGGAAGTGTTGGGCTTGGCAGGAAGAGACGATTTATGATCTATGAGAAGCGGCAGAGGCTGCATTTAGGTGAAGGGGCCTTTTTCGAGTTGAAAATAGAATTTGATGTGTACAGTAGAATATTTAAAGTCCTCAACAACATAATACCTAAGAAGAATTGACTTTCGAGCCCAAAATTTTAGATAAGTCTAAACAGTATCTCAAAATAAAGATATCTGAGGTATCTACATCTGTTCGTATTGATTTATAGTTCTAAGGGTCATTCCTTAAATTTGTTGTAAATTTACTAGGCTCACGTGAAGTAGTGTGATGAGTAATCGATGACCCACCCCGACTTCCCATAAACCATCGATTTGATAGACTTCAAACGTGGGACTGTCAGGCTGAAGCTACCAATGGGAAGAGGACTTTTAGATTCAAGAGCATCGTAATAACCAGTGCCTTATGCACCACGGTGCTAATGCTATCATGAATCGTTACGCGGTATGTCGAGATGGGATGGGATGGGTTGGACGCTTCTATGATTCCTTTCAACCATTTCATCAACCCCGCCAAGTAATAATCGCTGACTTTTGTATAGTGCGAAGAATGCCGCCATCGTAAATTTAGGGTAATTTCTGTGCAACTTCAATGATGTGCTAAAGTTTAACATTTACCAGTGCTCTAAAGAAAGGCCAGCATGTGCCTATTGTCGGAGAGAGCGTAGGCCCTGTGTCTATTCGGCGAAGATCCAGCGAAGCCCGCTGACTCGCGAGTAGGTGTTTTTCCTATTCCAACGAACGTCTTTTGTAACAGGTGCCGCAGATATGTTACTTCGCTTGAAAACCGGTTGCAGAAGCTAGAAGCGAAATGTGCAGAGTTAATACCTGGCGTTGATCTTGAGAAATTGGCTCCACAGACGCCAGGAATTCCCGGGTCTAGCACCTGGGAACTTCCCACTAATCCATGGGCTGCTACTACTTCGGATGCCCCATCACATCCAAGTTATACAGATTCGTTTCCTCGAATATCAACTGGGTTCGAATGGAGTGAACAGGGGGATGCCCTAAACCAGCTAGCGGATGGTATGGCATTTTTGTCGGTGAATCCAGAAGGAGCCGGTTATCTTGGAACATCTGCGAACGTGGCTTTGCTACGATCCCTTCATCATAATGGGTGGACCATTGATTCATCAGTATCGAGGGTTATTGACTCGTCCAGGACCCTTAAACCCTCACTGCGAGAAGCTTGGGCCTGGAGCGAGATGACCCATGACGCAGACCTGGACCAGCTTATTAGCACACTGATTGATTCCTATTTTCGGAATTTTCACACGAGATACCCTATCGTTCACGAGGCTACTTTTAGAGCTCAGACCGAGGATATCGCTCCAAAACCGGACTCAGAGTCGTGGTTGCTGTTGCGGCATGTAATCCTAGCTATTGGCGGGTGGTGTATGGGATATGACACCAAGGGGTTCGATGAGCTACTGGGTGCAAAAACCCAGGGATGGAGCAGAAACACATCCATTCTGTCTTCTGGGAGTCTAACTTTGGTCCAAGCTGTTGCACTAAAGGGCCATTTCACGCAACGACAGAACAATCCAAACACAGGCTGGAACTTCTCTGGACTGGCCGTTCGAATAGCCATAAGCCTTGGGCTGCATCGAGAATTCCCGGCATGGAATATAAGCGTTTTTGATCGCGAGATGCGACGACGAGTTGGATGGTGCGTTTTCGTAATGGATGCTGGGACTGCCATCACGTTTGGACGCCCAATATTATGGCCAACCGATGGTATGATGGATATAAAGGAGCCAATGAATGTTGACGACAAAAAGTTGACCTCAAGAACACTTGTCGCTCCAGAAGAGTCCACTGGATCAACTATTTATTCCCATCTAATCTGGCAGATTCAATTTCACCAACTCACCAATTCAATGTACACCCGCCGTATGGCTAGCTTTGATTTGCCTGCCGAAGAAATCCTCGAAATGGATTCAAAGATCACCGTCTGGGAAAAAACCCTTCCGGCATACTTTACATATAGCCATACCGATCCCACCGAGCCAGAATACATAACAACTGCCCGTTGCCGCCTGCTTTGGAGATTGGCGTGCTTCAGGATCATGTTACATACCCCCCTGCTACTTAGATGGGCGACTGAAAAATCCGTTGGCGTCTTGTCGCCGCAGGCGGACACGGAAGCTGCAAGACGATGCCGTGAGCTCTGTCTCGAATATGCACACCTCACCGTGAAGTACACCGAAGAATACTTTTCCCTCCATATCTTCAGTCCAATGCATGACTGGTATGCGATGTAAGTTTGCCAGTTCTTTAATTATATATCGGACACTAACCCGCATCAGATATTACCTCTTCCAGTCAAGCTTGATCCCGGTTTTCTGTATCACAACCGAGCCAACCTCACCAGATGCGGCGGCATGGGGAGCCGATATTGAGGCAGCGAAACGAATCCTGGAGACTGTAAATACGCATTCCGACAAAGCCAGGAGGTTTTTGGACGTGTTGAACCGCCTATACTCCAGTTTGGATGAGATGGAAGGCTTTATGGAAACAATGCAGCAAGAGGGTGGTGATATAATGGGGATGGTATATGGGCAGATGCAAGGAGCGCCAGAGAGTGCTCAACAAACCGGACACAGCATCCATCAAACTGGATTTTAGAACTCCAGGGGCACATATTGGACATAGTAATGTTTTTAATTTTTTGGTACTTTGTTTCATGCATAATAGACGATATTCACAATTCAAACAATTAGCAAGCGCGCCCCAAAAATAATTCGTTAGAGCCTTCGCCTGTTATAACAACAAAGCCACGGATTCGAACCCAAAATATATAACCACAGAGCCCACCTCTCCAAAAGAAGAAAAAAAAAATATAGAGCAAAAAAAGACAAAAGAACCAGGTCATCTACTCTCTACAGGAGCTAACTGTAGGAGTACATGACCAGTAACCAAACCCCACACATCATTGTGATAGGGGCCGGGGGTTAGCCGGGCGTCTATCACAACGATCCGTGGCAGTTTCATATTATCAAGCCCACAACTGAGAGTCGCTACCACTCAGCCATGGAGCCGGACGTGATTCTTCTTCGCCTGATCCAATATATATACCTGCCTTTGTGTGGTGGTAGCAGGAGCTCCTATTGGCCGCGCTTAGGTTAAGCGGTGCACGCGCAAAATAGGCGCGGTCCTGCTGTTTTTATGTGTGGCGTTGTGAACATAAGGTCAGAGGGAAGATTTCATAGAGAAGATGAGCAGTTCTATATTTGTGGTGCTCTTTTGAAAAGGATATATTCACAAACATTTGAGGCTGGTTTGAAATAATTGGTGAATTACATCATAAGGGGGGTTGTTTGGCAGTCGTAGCGTGCATCACAGGTAGGCTGCGCACTAGGTACTCAACAGTCGAGTAGTAGAATTTTTACTCACCTAGCTAAGTTACTCACTTATGTCCCAAGTATTGTTGAATGAGGATTACTCACTTGCTAAGTACCTAGTATGGGTCTTAGCAACTCAGTTATATCACGTGTTTGATTAGTCATTACTGTTGAACTAAGTGGATTATCTCAGTACAGTGGTAGAAGTAAAAGTAATAATGGTGAACAGCAGAGCACTGGTGTATGTGATTGTTTTGTTGTTGTTAGAGTGAAGCAATCTACAGAAGCTATATACTCTGAGTGAGGTGCGCTACCTCATATAATGGTGGGTGTATGTAACGATGTACGGTTACGCTCGTGCTACATCCCACTGAGCCAAAAAGAGTACAGTATTCCGGCTCGCCCGGAATACGCGCAACACGCTTTATATACCACATGTACTGTAATGGCGGCACCCGTTACAGTGCATCAGATGTGAGAATCTAGCCACCCAAGGAATGGATGATTTTACTAAGACAATACACTGTCTTAGGAAACAGAGCTACAACGCAAACGTGACCCCGTCCACGAGATCAACCTCAGCGACGAAGAGATGAAGAACATGTTCCCCCAATAAGCCAAGTCACGAATTGTTCACATCTAGCCTAGGGGCTCGCAGCGGGTTGTAGCTTAGACTATTCCACAATGAGCAATCAGGTGTATGATGTAGTGAAGTGGTTTAGACAAGTTCTAACAAATGTTGAGTCTGAGAACTCAGGTGTAACGCTGACTTCTAAACGATAGAAGACACAGAGGTTTCTTGCATAAGGTTGACTTGACAGAGGAGGCAGGGGATTAGACACAAAGGCTTTCCAAGTAACACGTTACAGTATTGTAAAGAATACTATATTGAGTTGAGCACGAAGCTCCTATCTAAGGAAATACTATCTACTTATATAGTGGCGTCGTGCCAAAGGGATATCCGTGGATAACATGGATAACATAATATCCATGATATCCAATGTTATCCATGATATCCAATGTTATCCATCACGTGAGGTTGCAGCCGTAAGCGCTAGCCATAGCACTAGCACTTAGCCGTAACATCAGGGGGAAGTCAGAGGTAGCACCTCACTGACTTTTCAGAAACAAAGAATAACAAGATCACTGCTTGGAAGCTTGGAAAAGACATAGAAGTATGTGCTAGTCAATTTACTGTATTGCCTGCTTGCCCTTTCTTAAGGAAAGGGCAATCCTATTTATGCTACAGGAGTGTAAGGACACAGGGCACCCAGCTCACAGTAATAGCATATGAGAGTGCGAGTCGGAGGCTAAACAGATGCTATCCTATAGGTCTACTATGAAGGATACAAAAAAGATGAAGAGAGGAACCCCCGTTGTGTCAATCTCCTTAAGTACCCAAAACGGGTCCAACTCGGCTAACCTGCCTTCACTCTCACCACGTGACCATAACTTATCCGACTCAGATACCTTCTGTCACTGAGGGAGAGTGACCCTGTTGGGTCAACCCCCTTAAGTACCCGAAACGGGTTCGACTCGGCTAACCTGCCTTAACTCTTATCATGTGACCGTAACCTGCCTGACTCAGATGCTTTCCGTCACTGAGGGACAGGCATCCTTACACTACCCCCCTCCTGAGAGAGTGCTTTGTCCGCAAAGCACGTGGCTAGTATCATGTCCGCAACGTCTCCGAATGGTATCCGTGAGTGGAGCGTTCTTTGTTATCAGAATGTTGGCTGGTAATTACGTCCGGAACAACTCTGTTTGTCGTGCGCGTCAGGAAGATGCTTTGTTTGCCACAGCAGTCATCCCGAGGTGGTATCGCGTTAGGGTCCGTTTGGCATGCGAAACTGGAGCTCGCTTTATTCAATCTCAGGTTCGTTCTTGAGGTCCGAATCAGTACCGGAAGGTGTCCACTACACGTTTGAGTAGAATTTTCATAAACGTGAAAGAAGAAGTGGCTGCGCTAGCCCGATTCAGAGTTTATTGTTGTAAATCAACATTTGAGTATTCCGCTTCACCCAATTCCTCTTGTTTTTTTTCTTACAACAACAACGCCAGCGACCCTCCCGCCCGAGACCAGTAAGTGGCCCCTCCCTGTCCATTTCTTGATGTGATACTGATAGATTGGATAGTATACATCCAATCCACATGAACGAGTAGGTGATGAGAGCGCATTGGCGTGGTGTTGATAACTTGTGCTGGGCTAACGGAATAGCAGATTCCAAATTTGAAGATGCCGGTTCCTGCACCCTCCAGGGCCCTTACGGTTGCCTTCTGCATACTCTGTCTGTGCTGCCTTCGGGCTTTGGCCCGAAGGGATCCAGTCCCACGACTGCGTCTGGTCCCCGACCAGTTCCAAGTGTGGGTACTGCACAGCGCAGTACTCGCCTTGCGTCTCGGTAGGTTTTCTTGTGGGGTTCGGTGTTTGGTTTGGTTGGCCATTGCTGACTTTGGTGGAAGCTGCCCTGGTTCCTTGGGGAAGAGTTTGCGGCCCTCCGCGCTGCCAAAGAGGCCACCGAGGCAAATTGGGTGTTCCGTGTGAAACTATCTGAGTTTATGGGGAGAGTTCATGAAGTTCGATGCTGGGTACCACTCCGGGTCCGGATCGTATCCGACCCCACTATCACAGCGAGGATCTCCTCTATGCTGTCTATCACTTCGCTGCTAGGCTCAGGCGGATCCTGACCAGGTAGGAGGTTGTTCGGATCCTTCATGAGGACGTCTGGTGAGAACACATCGTGTATTTGAGAACCGGTAGGTAGTTCTAATCGAAATGCGTGACCAATCTGTTCCAACACCGTATATGGTGCGACCCATTGTTGGCCCAACTTGCGGCTAGGGCGAGAGTTCTTCAAATTTTTGGTTGATAGGTACACTATATCTCCTACGTCCCAGTTGATGGCCCTTCGGCGTCGATTCGCGTGCTTAGACATTTCCTCTTGTCCCTTTGCCATGTTTTCCTTTGCGTGGACCCATGCGGTATGCATTCAGTCTGCAACCGCCTTGGCTTCCTCTAGGTTTAGAGTCTCCCGGGGGTTGGTGCTTTTTGGAGTGTTCCAATCCCAACTCGTACGCGGATCGGTTCCGTACTTGAGTCAGTAGGGGGTCATGCCAATGGATGCGTGGGGAGTGTCATTTGCACGCGGTCCATTATGGGGATGAGCTCACTTCAGTTATCCTGGTAATGGGATATGAAAGGCCTTAGTCTCGGATCGATGTATCAGTTCATGATTTCCGTCTGTCTGTCGGTCTGCTTATGATAGGCAGTCGACAGCTTAACCTTAACAACGATAATTCGACAGAACTCCTGCCAAAAGGATGAAACGAATTGGGGTCCACGGTCGCTTACAATTGACTCCGGAGTGTGTCTGAATCAGTATATCCATTCGATAAACAATTGTGCCATTTGCCGGGCAGTTTTGGTTTTGTAGCAAGGTATGGTCACTGAACTCTTTCCGAGTCGGTCCATAAACACTAAGATGCTGTCTTATCCATGCTTGTCCCTTGGGAACTCCTTGAAGTCCATGGTGAGGTGTTGCATAGGATATTCAGGTACGGGCAGTGGGTGTAGGAATCCTTGTTGCTTGGTGACATTGGTATGAGAAAGCCAACATGTCACACAATTCATCACGTAGCGCAAACAATCCGCTTCCATCCCGACCCAGTGGTACTTCAGGGCAATCAATTGATAGGTTTTCCGGCCGCTAGGATGTGGCACCGACAGCTGGTCGTGCGCTTCTCGGATTAGTTTCGTACATAGCTCAGTGTGGTGATTTACACATAGCCGGCCTTTGTATAGAAGAAGCCGGCCGTTCAACGTGAACCTGTCAGATAGGGGGTGTTTCGCACGTGATTCTGTAAACGACTCTCTGTTGTCCTCACATAAAGCCTCTATTAAATCGAAAGGCATCTGGGGCTTGGGGGTGTCCATCAAATTAATGGATGCTATGTAGCTCTCGGCGAGTTCGGTGCTGATTCAGGGGTGCAGGCAGCTTGGACCTAACAATACCCTCGCCCTACTATCAAGCTTGACTTTCTGCTGCGTTACCAGGTCTTGGTCTCTTCAGCTCAGAATATCTGCCTTCTGGTTATTCTTGCGCGGTGTACATAATGCAGAAATTGAAGTCGGAGAGTAGCTCCATCCACCGAACCTGCTTCGCGGTAAGAACCTTGGTAGACATGAAATATTTCAGCGAACGGTGGTAAGTGTAAACGTCGACTCGGTGGCGCACCGAAGCCAACTCGGGCCTCCATTTTCCAAAGGCTTTCACGATTGCGAATAGTTCCTTGTCGTGGATCTCCCAGTTGATCTCATGTCCGGATAGGACGTGACTGTAGAAGCTTACGGGGTACTATCGCTTGTCAGGGTG